AAAACTTGCTACTGCATTTTATACTTCATTTAAGTTATGATGTTGCAGCGTGATAGGAGAAGAAATGTTATTCATGAAACAAGACGAGGTCAGCTTAATTTAAATCCAGTTTGTGTTTTGCTGAGAAGGTCATTGTGTTAGGCTGATAAGTAACTGCTTGAGTGGGCAAAGAAAATCACCGAAAAGAAATATAAAGAAAAATATATAAATGAATAAAAAAGGGTTTAAAATTTACTACATACAAGCAAACCCATGGACCTATGGCCTACATTCACAGGGCTGATATAATACAAATTTAATTTATTTAACCAAGTTATGAACAGTAGTTAGTGGGCCTACTTATTTATATGCTCTAATGTACATCAGTGCCACATCTGGGGTCTACTCATTGGATATACAAGACTGTTTGGTTTAAGCATTATTATTTGGTTTGTTTGGTGATTTAGTATTTAATGATTATTTATTTTTCATAACAAGAGAGTTAAATATAATTATTTTAAAGGCAATAGTTATGACAAGTTTGGTTGCTTAACTTGGTAAGAGTCATATGTTGTGTATGTAGTTGATTGTACTATGCTTTAGTACTATTGTTGGCATCACATTACTCGAATCTTCGGTATTTTTCTCACCAATTGAGTATTGTTACATCACAGCACCTCCCACGTTGTAGAAAAGTCCTGGCCATAGTTGGGCAAGGTGTATATATAGGTGACTGAACAAGAGCAGTTAAAGTTAGCTGGCATGTGAGTGATTAGCCATAACAGGCGATATTTTAAGTGAGTTTCACAGTTTAATAGAGTTAAGGAGAATAACTTGTCTTATCAAAGGGTGTTCTAAAGTAATTAAACCCATCTGTGTGGACTTTGACGAAAATGAGACAATTATTTAAGGTTTGAGATACAACTGTGGTAACCCATGGAGTAACGTAAGTGAATTTATTGCAGATTGTACTGTAAGAAACAGACTAGAGAAAAATAATTCCTCTTGTCAGTGGGATTCTAAAGTAATTGAATCAGACTGTGTACACTTTTGACAAGAAAGAGAATTATTTAGAGATTTAGATACAACTGTGATATCCTATAGTGTAAAGAATATTTGTACATATGTTTGACTTGTTTTGAATATATTATTTTAAAACAAGTGGATTGTGTGCTGTCTGTTTATTGTTGACATTTATCACCAACAAGTCACAGACACCTACTGTAGAAGAATCCTCAGCCCCCTCATATTTAAAACCCTGACACTGATTTTGAGCAAAATACCTGGGTTCCCTAAAAGGTTGGGTGAAAGTTTTATCTTTGTACCTTGAGACCAAGATGATTTGTTTGGTCTGACTTAGAAGTTGATTTGACCCGTGGTTTAGGAAGAGTTACAGGACACACAGACAAGGATTTGTATTATATAGATGATAAATGAAACCTGATTAACAATTTAAAAAAAAGGCTTAATTTTGACATGGCAACAATGTATTTTTATTGTAAAACCAATGAGGTTGTTTGTGTTGCTTTTCAAATTAAAAAAACTTTAAAAGAAAGTTTTAAAAAATGTAGGAAATCATAAAAAGCAATAACTAGTAGCTACAACAAAGATAAGCATTTTTAATTGTTTAAAGAATAAGTCATAATGAAATCTTTCAAAATTTCAAAGCTGTGAATCCATACAAATATCACATATTCAGAATCTACATAACATTTAGAATGTTCTAAAGAAGAATGTAGAATGTTCTTTTGAAGTTTCAAACTTCTTCATTTTTTTTCCACAATGCAATAAAAAAAAGTGCAAAAGGTGTATCAAATCAAAGCACCTGGTTGCATAGAATCGCACAGTTATAAGCTTTAGGGTGTCAAAGTACTCAATTTGATATACTTAATGCTTAAGCTATTGTTTTATTTGCATTTGTGAAATGCTCACAATAGGGAAGGTGGGGCTTAATATAAATACTTTGAGTATTTTAGTATGTTTTTATCAAACTCTCATTATTCATATACTTTACAAATAAGTAATAATTATATACAGACCTAATAAATAGATATGTATTGCGATATTGCAGTTTTGACAAGATCTTTAACTTTGTGTATGAACTTTTTCAATTATTTTTCATCCCTGTAAAAAAACAAATAAAACCTGTAGCTTGTTCAGAATTTCTTTGTGAATGTTTAAAAATAATGATAATTAAAATAATGTGTATGTATATATGTGTATGTGTCAGTAACTTTATTTTTTGTTTTGAATACAGTGTAAACTGGAGTTGTGTGACATTGGAACTGCTGTTGATCATGCTAAAGCCTTTGGTCGAATTGCTTTTTCTTGCCCTGCTGAAGAGGTTAGTCAGCTAACATAAGTAATTTTATCTGGTTTAAATATTGGTTGTGTGTAACAAACTTTGATATTTTAATATTATAAATTAAGTAGTCAAATGATCTTGCCAGAAAGTTCATCCAAGATATCAAAATTCAAGTTTTCTATTTAATACTGAAGTATTAAAATATAATGTATTATGAGTTTTGTGTGTACATAAATGTAACCTGAGCCTTTTTTTAGAGATTAGCAGTTTACATTTAATATATTTTGTGTTGAGATTGAAAAGGTATAGCTAAGATCATTTTAAGACTGTCTTCTTGTAGCTGAAACCTTTTCAAATCACTTTTTTTCCTATTCATCTGTTATAGATCTGAAAAACAAATTTGCTCACTCTATGTACTTACACGATACTTTTACATCAATGATGTGTTACCTGAGTATACGTTAAAAATGTACTTAAATATGTCTCCGCTGTTATTTTTCACAGCTTCAACAGATAGAAAGCAAAATGAAGGAGGAAGGCCAGACAATACTTACACCACTTGTCAGTCTGGACACACCTGGCAAAGCTACGGTACAAGTCGTGATTTTGGCTGATCCAGTATGTGTATTATCAATTAATATTTTTAACACATTTTCCTTTAACATAAAGTATTTAAAAGCCCTGTGTGTGTTTATATATATTTGTATCTTGGTATTTGATACTTTGAAAGTAAGCTGTGAAAAGTAACTTTTGTATGTTGTATGTCAAAAGATTCATTTCCCATACTTTTTTTTAACTGTTTGTGTGTTGTTATCTTTATTCCATTCTTCTTGCTATTGTACTTATCTATGACTAGCCTCATTTCCAGAGCATGGCATACTTTCCGTTTGGCAAATAAAATCATTATTACTTATATTCAGATCCCCTGGTGGGACAGTGGTAAGTCTACGGAGTTACAGTGCTAGAATCTGGGATTTGATTCCCCACAGTGGACACGGCAGATAGTCCAGTGCGGCTTTGCTCTAAAACAAACAAACAAACATCCAGTGTATGAGCATATTCTGTTATATATTTTAGTAGTTACATGAGAACAAGGTGAAATATGCAAAATTATTTACTTTTCCATGTGCTAATAAATCCTTTTTGTTTTCAATCCTTAATAAACAAAGAACAAAATGTTGTTCAAATTATACGCATAGTTTCAGTAATGTTTCTGTGTGAAATAAAACGAAAACACACTATATCTAGCTAACCTAATTACATATATGTGGTCAAAATATATATATATACAGAGAGAGAGAGACACACACACACAAATATATATTTCACTATTATATTTTCATCTTCACAACAGCTATCTTACTTGTACAACTTATTTTTGTATTCTTTAGGGCTTTATGTAAGTATTATTACACTTCATTACAAATACTTTTAGTGATGAAGCTTTAAACAGAAGTAATTTTTATCATAGTAAAATCTTGTCAAAAATTAAATTTCATTTTGTAGATTTTACATAATTTGGAAGTTGAACATTTATCGACAGTTTCGACAAAAGTAAATTTGAAGTATACAATTTGTGAAAAATTGGGAAAGCCTCTTAAAAATATACTGTTTTTAAAATAATATATCTTTTTCTTTCTCTCTCTTAACACTTTGGGCTTATCAAAGCAAGTTATTGAATTAGGTATTAGCTATTGTTTGTAATAATATTAAATTTGTCAATTTAGAAATGTTATTAAGAGGTATAATGCCATTGATTCCATAATTTCATGAACTGATGATTACAATTACAGCTGTTCTCTGTTTGGATGGGATGGTTTTACATTCCTTTAGTGCCCGGTTTAGGTTTTTGTTTTGCAAATATATTAATATTTTATTTAATATTATCAAAAAATAAAGTGTGGTTTCAAACACAGTAAAAACAGTTATTTGTATGTGTTAATGAAAAACATTTAGTCAGTATATTTCAAAATTAAATATGTAATTAATTTCTCCTTTAAAACACCATGGGCCAAAATGTGTAAACTTTTTAAGAATCACACTTTAACTCTCGTAACTCAGAAAAAATAAAACATTTCTATTCTAGGATGGCCACGAAATCTGTTTTGTTGGAAATGAAGCTTTCTGTGAACTGTCTAAAGTTGACCCTAAAGCTGACCAACTCCTTGAAGAAGTAAGATTTTTTTTTATTCTGCAGAATGCTAAATGAAGCACGTTTTTGTACATCTTTGTAAAAACAAAGCAACTTTTAACTTCAGAAAAGTAACACTTTAACTCTCTCAACATGGGATCAGTCGAATTGGTGGACCTTATAACTACTTTGTACTCGTTATAGTTTCCATACTATAACATTTAGTACAGTATGTACATCTTCATAAAATTTGGCAAACTTTTAGTAAACATTACATGTCGTTTGTACACAAAAAAATCAGTTTTTTTAATAAAGTATTTTTATTAAAGATTTGTCTGTGAATACATCAAATGTTTTTTTTGACTAGTCCAAGTGCAAAGTGAATTTTAAATTAAGATTAAAAATTCTTTTCTTTCTCTCAAAAATCTCTAATTTCATTTGCGTAACCTCCAAAACATCCTAAATAAAATATAACTTTTTTCAGTAAAAACTTTATATTTTATCTGTTATTACCTCTACCCTAACAATGTATTTGATTCTTCAGCCAGTAGACAAATCATCAGAGTATAATGAAAAATTATAAAAATAGAAATAAAATGAGCAGCTGTGACCTGTTTTCTTTATCAGTTGTCACAAAGTTGGAATGTACTTCTCTTGAAAGTTTGAAATGCTAAACATTTCACATTTATTTTCTGTGTTTATTTTACTGTCAACAACTGAAGTAGAAATCTGTTGAAAGGTTTTTATTTTATATTCTAGCTTTTCTATATCTCAAATTTGAGTTTCTAATTCATTAACCACAAAACACATGTTGTATGGTAAGCATACTAAAATATAAACTCGGCAACAAGACAATAGGAAGTGCTATGTGACAAACAATAATTTATGTTTAGCATTTTTTCTTTATATTTCCTTTTAAATAAAAAAATAAAACATGTATAATATTAAACTTTGAATTATAAACTATGTTTTAATGTCAGTTCCATTGACATAAGTGATAGTGAAGGTATTTAACAATATTTTTAAAATAACTCTAAAAGTATATGACATGCACTTTTTACCCTATCTGCAGCAAAAGGGTAAATATATTAATATTTCTACTTATGTCTTTCTCAGGGTACAAAGTAATACAAAAACTAAGTCAAAATATTGGAATGTTAAAAATTAACTTTTTTTTTCTAAAGTGTAAAGCTCCCCAGTGGTTCAGCAGTAAGTCTGGGGACTCATACAACTAAAAACTGTGTTTCAATGCTTGTGTTGAGCACAGTACAGATAATCCCATTATGTAGCTTTGTGCTTAACAGAAAAAAAAACGAAAATGTAAGGACATTTGCATTATAAAAAATAAGGAACTTTTCTAAATAATGATTCATCAAAAGATGCTGGATATAATCTTAAATATTTTTATGAATAGTGATTTCCAAATAATTTTTAACTTTTAATTTATTAATTGTAAGCATAATATTAATAAAATCTCTGATAAGTTGTATATAGGATCTTTTCATAAAAAAATATGTTCTCTTTGTTATGTTTATTTCCACTATATCTCTCTCGTAGCAGTATTTTTGTTTATTGCTATGCAAGTGCTCATCCACCATAATGTTGCAAGTGTCCGTAAAGTTTACCGTATGTACCTACTCAAGTTAGTGTGCGTACATTATAATTTTAATTTCTATTAAAATTGAAGAGAATAAATAATAATAAAAAATATACATAAAAGGTGATCATGTAAGAAAAATTCTGAGATTTGACTTGATCTTCTTTTTAAGATAAAAAAAATTTCCAATTTTCTGAGGTTTTTTACTGTTAGGCGCTTCATTTCAAGAAGGTGAAAAATATGTCAATCAATAACATTTAGATGTTTGATTAACATGTAGAAGCAACTAACTTATAATAATTTTAATCGTTTGAAAATTCTGATTATCTGTTTAACAATGCATTATAAGATATTCATGACCATCGAGATTATCATGGTCCCTGGGTAAGAATGCCCCACCCCCAAATAGTATTTGGAAGGGTGTCACATACACACAGAAGTGATTTAAGACATGATTAATGTTTGCTTGAACATTCCATACTTATTTAGCACATTTTTTAGACACTTTTGGCCAATCGCTTTGGGCCCTGGGGTAATATTCTTGGTCTCCCCACCTTTTTAGTGGGCCTGGAAACATTATATAATAACTTTGTTTATGAAAGCAATGAAAGTTCTTCTCCCAATCTTTATAATTTTATATTTTAATACGTAATGTGAATAATTACAAAACCCACATTAATAATATGATTAATTTATGATATTTTTTACAATCTGTTTAATTTTTAATTAACGCTAGAAGCTATTCTGATTACAATGAAAGATATTTGTTTTCTTTTAATCGGCATGGTCAAGTGGTTAGGACACTCGACTCGCAATGTGAGGGTCATGGGTTCGAATCCCCGTCACACCAAACATGTTCGCCCTTTCAGCCGTGGGGGCATTATAATGTGACGGTCAATCTCACTATTCGTTGTTAAAAGAGTTGGCGGTGGGTGGTGATGACTAGCTGCCTTCTCTCTAGTCTTACACTGGTAAATTAGGGACGGCTAGCGCAGATAACCCTCGTGTAGCTTTGCGCAAATTTCAAAACAAACTAACCTCTGTGCAGTGGGCTAGTTTTAATCATAATTTTTTTTCATTGTAATATGTTTATAGATATTAAAATTTTATTTTCTTAACTATTTGTTGGTATTAAACTAATTACTTTTAGCCAAACTTAAAATAATTGTTTCAGTTGCATAAAGAATGAAAGAAACCTATTTGTTTTATTATCTAGAGCCAAAAGTTGATTATCTACAAAAGATCTAAATTACTTCAGTCCAGAGAAGAAAATAATTTTGGCATGAAATCCTACTATAGTTAACTTAAGTTATTTTCTGAATCAAGCAGTTGATTAGCATTCATGTGGCATAGTTGTGGAATATAACATTTTGTTTGGTAGCATAGAATATGAGACGTAAAGAGATCAATATGATTTATTCATAACTAGGGCTGTAATTTTGTATAAAGAAATACATTTCTTCAAAATAATAAACAACAGATATTGAAATTATTGTAATTTTAACTACAAGCACTAGCTTCTAGAGTTTGTTGGATGTTCAAAACTTGTTTCTTAACTTATTGGCAGTCATGGGGTTAGAGCCCATGTAAACACGATCATTATCATATTTAGTTTGTTTCATTTAATCTTTATTAATAAAATTAAACTTCATTAGAATTAACTATTCATTTTAAAAATTTTAAGTAAATCATTGGAATTGACTTGCCAAAAAAAAATCTAGAAAAGCTCTTTCATTTTGTTTTCTTTTTCAAAGAATAAAGAAAGATTTGAACACTTCATTTGAAAAGTAAATTCATCTTATATCTTTTGTCTTTTTTCAGGCAATGGCTGCAGACAAAAGTGATGAATGGTTTGCAAAAAAGGGAATATCCAAAGCTCAAGCTTGAACAAATTCATGAAGCTAACTTAATCAGACCGAATTTGAGGATTTGCATTAATTATGTAACATTTTATGCTGACATCCTAAATCTTTTTGGAAAAATTGTATTTGTGTGTACTATAAAGACATTTTCAATGGCTTAAAACCCTTGAGAAAATAGCTATCTAATTTTGCTCAATCTTCATTTTGTTGGAAATGGGTTATTTTTTTATATAATTTTTTTTTGTATTACCAAAATGCAATATAAATTTTGTATTTGTCTTGTAGGGAACTGTATATTTTCTGTAAGCAGCTTGCATTTATTTAATTTTTAATCTTTAGCCCAAACATTATATAATAATTAATAACAACAACTTATTTGTACTGTTGACACGTTACTGGAGAAAAAAAAATACTTCATTACTCCTTATTCACTTCTTTGGGGAAAAAATGTAATACAGTGTCCTTACTTATTAGTTAATAATAAAATAAAAAAATTAGCATGTCATATTATTTGTTATATTTAATTCTCTTGTTCTATGAAACAGTTGTGACAAATCATTATTATTTTTTTTTGGTTTGATTCCTTGTGGTAGATACAGCAGATAGCCCAGTGTGGCTTTCCTCTCAAACAAACAAAAAAACAAATCCTTCCTTACTTTTTTTAACAATACATGTGGAAATTAATTTATTAATATCTGTTATGCCTTTTTTTTTTACAGTCTTTCTGCAGCCATTTAATCTGATTGCACAGTTTACAAGTGCACAAATAACCAGTTAAAAAGAAAATTTAGACCTTAATGCTGATATAACATGTATGATTTTATGAGTTTTCTTTTATATTTGACGTATCATTTAGATATTTTCTTAAAATTTACTTGAGTTTGAAAAAGAAAGAGCACTAATGTAGGTCTACAACAGAATGAAGTTAAGAAGACAAACCTGTATCTTTCTTATAGAAAGCAACTGTAATATTATTACTCCTAATAAAAAATTTAACGTGTTTTAGTTATTGAGAAAAGTCATTTTATTACAGTAACAAGTTATTTAAATATATCCAACTCTGTTTGTAACTACAAATTCCTGAACTACTTCAAAACTAGAGGTCCCCATAACTATGCTATAATCATTACATTTTATATATGTTTATTAAAATTATAAATAATATTTTTAAGACAATTTATTTATTTTTTATCTTAAAGAAATTTTGATGATCTGTAAGTAGTGACATTGGTTCATTAACTTAGTAAATGTACTAACCACTAATGGTTTATTTATATAAAAAGAATATGCTTTTTGAAATTTTTGGTGTCAGAATTTCATTTTCATCAAATAAATGTCAGGTAAAGATAAATTTGTAACTTTATATTCTTCATAGATTTGTGCAAATCTACAATTTTAACATTTCCTCCGACTAAACACAGGTTGTATGGAGAAAAATTAATTCTTAATTTATGATGTATTCTTATTAAGCTTATTGGAATAGTTTATTGAAGTACCTCCTTTTATTTACTACTTTCATTTTGTAATAATCCTTTAGACAAATATTAGGAATTTGAATACTAATCAAAATATAGGCAGACCTTTACCATACAGTTTAAATGGGTATGTGAGAAAAACTATATCAGAGAATAACAATTTTATTAAAAAAAAGTGAAGAAGAAGAAAAAACAAACATCAAATGTGTATAGGACTCCTAGACTCACACCAGCCAGAGTAAATGAACCAGAGTTCTGATCAAAGCCACAAAAGATTAGCTAAGAGACTGGAGGTGTCATTGTCAATCAAAGTCTGCTAACAGCAGCTTTTTCAACAGTATGTGAAACAGTAGCCACCAAATGGTAAAGTAAAGAGATTAGGAGTAGTAGTGACCCTCCTCTAGCTGGGAGATATACTATGGTTAAAGATATTAGGAGTAGTAGTGACCCTCCTCTAGCTGGGAGATATACTATGGTAAAGTAAAGAGATTAGAAGTAGTAGTGACCCTCCTCTAGCTGGGAGATATACTACTGAGATAGCCATGAGTCACAGAGAAGCCTGGGATCAAGAAGAGCTGATGGATGAGATGCTATGCACACTTTGTCATTCTGCCACCTAAAAGCTGGGCCCTACTTCTCACCAGAGTGTTGGGATCACTGTGAGCCCTTACAACATTATGTCCATAATGTCAAGGACATCTTGGTCAGGTTATTGCTGGGAAGTCGTAAAGGAGAGTGTGTGGCCATAATCATGGTTCCCCATGAGTAAGACAAAACAAATCACACTGCCAACATTCGAAGTCCAGTGTAGGAGGAGTCTGACTATTTTTTGAAGCATTTCAGGCAGGTGACTGCTTGGAATGGCTGAACTCTGGAACAGATGGTACAATGTCTAGTTCTGAGCTAAGACGGTTCAGCCCACATGCCATTGCGCTTTTGAATAAAGAGCAATTATGGGACTGTGAGGCAGTCATCAATTAGTTGTGCCAGAGGTCTGACCCAATGAAAAAGAGAGCAATACATTGAGTCTAATTCAAGTTTTAGGAGTACCTCTGAAAGATTGAATGCTTATGTGAAGGATCTGCACCATTTACATGGTAAGGTAACCCTGAAATGGCCTCAGTGGATTGTGAGAATATCGTTGTTACCAAGATTATGGAAGGGCTACCCAGTGAGGCAATGCAGCATCACCTAGATGTGAAAGATCTTTTCACCCTTACTGAGACAGTTTCTGTCTCAATGTTATAAAGTAGTCATTTTGAAGTTATCACAAAAGAGGGAGAAGCCTGTAAAGGAAACTACACTAATTTCACTGTGAACAGATCATCCTACATAGGTACTCATTCATGCCAGATTCTAACCCAGTTAAGGGTCATTCAACCACCCACACATTCTGGTGTTATGATGCAACCATGCTCATATCAATTGAACAACAGTCATCTAATACTGCTAGTACAGGTCTGGAAAACTAGATGAGTTCATATTGGGCTTGACCACTGACTTAGGAGAGTGCAATGAGCCACTTGTATCGAAAAGTGTGGTGGTTAGCCCAGTTCTTTCAGGGCTGAGTGGGTCTTACTATGTGCCTGCCAGAGTACAAGGCAAGAAATAGAGTTCCTGGTTGATACAGGAGTGAGTGACCAGAACACTGGTGGATCTCACAATACATCAGGTGCTCCCAGTTAACACGAATTTCGTTCTTGTAAATTGGATTGGAATGGAGATTTTATGCTCCAACTATATCTATAAGGTTTCGCTTACAGAATGGAGTTAATTGTCACCAACTTCGGTTCTGGGATCAGCATCCTATAAAAGGACATATTTCAGAGCTTATTGGTCAGTTTCATTTGTGCAACCACTGATCTAATTTTTCACGGTAAGGGCTATCTAGTGTTGGCCAGCTCAATCCCAGGAAGAGTGTATTCGGAAAAGGAAGTAAGAATACCCCTGTGTACACAAGTGATGTTCTGTGGTTTGCTACAGACAAAGCCCAGTGCATTGGTGGTGTGTAATGTAGTTATAGAGTCCACACATGAAGTGGCTGTTTCATGCCCAGAGAGCAAGTAACAAACATTAGCTTAGGCAGTTATCTATATGAGAAGTAATGAAGCCACAATGTTGTTCTGCAATTATGGATGATTGGTTATCGAGTTGCAATGCTGAGCTGGTCATCCATCAACATGGTAAGCAAATTGTAAGTATTCAATGCTACTGGTAACACTAGAGCTGCATTATAAAACACACCTGAAAGTAGATATCTGGATACCAACACATCTAAGATTGCTAGTTGGCTATTCTACAGATAATCTAGACTAACAGCAACTCAGTGAATTGTTGGTGGAATATGCAGAGATATTTATGGGACCAAATGGTGTATTGGATCAAACAAAATTCGCAAAACATCACACAGATACAGGTGACCCACACCCGATCAAACAGCTGTCATGCAGGCTTCCCTGGAGCACTAAGGATGTAGCCAGTGCTGAAGTACAGTGGATGTTAAAGAATAGAATCGTACAACCTTCAATAGTGATTTTCAGGTAGAAGAATGGTACACCCAAGTTTTGTAATGATTGTAAACAAGTGCATATGGTAATTCCCATTGATACCTATTCACTACCACAAACAGCTAAAAACAGTGGTGCGAGATTGTTCTCAACCTATGATCAGACGAGAAGTCTGCAGTTTCTTTGGTTGCAAATTATATTACTAGGGTGACCAGACGTCCCGATTTTGCCAGAACCATCCTGTTTTTGGATAGTTTGACTCAATGTTCTGAGAAAATTTCTTGGGACACACAAAACATCCTGTTTTTATAATAAGACATAAAACGGTCAGTCACATTGTATCACAAATACAATAGGCCTACTAGGCTCGTTATTGTAACACTTTCTTGCCGCCAAAGTCTCTCAAAAGTTCAGTCTGTGTGATGGAAATAACAGAACTTCTAGTTACATTCATTCTTCATAAAGATGTGTCTAAAAAGTTCTAAAGTAATCCTAAAACGTAAAAGTAGTATGTTTGAAAATGTTATGATTATTAAATAAATCTAGGTATGAAACAGCCTATTCTAAGATGCATTGAATAAAGTAAATAATTAAAGATTTCCTGGGTGTATAATTTCACTACTTTTTCTCATATATTTTGTGTCTATCACCAAACTAAAAACTAGTTGAAATTATTTCAGAAACAATGCCAATGTCAATATACTTGGAAATATTGTGGAACAATTCAATAAATTTAAAGTAAATTAGATAAAAGTTAAATTATTTCAAATCTGTAATAACCATTTTCAAATTAATGGCGAGGGCTGGACTATCCTGGTTTTTGGTTTGGAAATCTAGTCACCCTATGTATTATACCATTGGTTTGTAGATAATTTCTTCAAGACTGTCTCACTATTATCTGTTTTTGTTAAGGTAAAGATGCACTTCAGATGGAGTGAGAAATATGAGCAAGCATTACAGCTCCTAAAGTGTGATTTTAGTATAAGTCCCAATATTGATATATTCATGACAAGACTATGAGCTCCTGCTAGACACCAATACTAATGATAGTGGAATCAGAGCAGTACGATTATAACTGTGATTACTGGTCTGTAAGATGTTATTGAAAATTCAGTCTACCTGTTAGTATCATTAATACTTGAAAGAATGTTTCAATTTCAACAATTAAACACTCAGCAGATAGTGAATTTTCATGGAAGAATAATAGTAACTGAAAGATTCACTACGTCTGAGAAAAAACAGGGTTTACCTGTTTTTTATAGGTAAGAGTAGTGAACAATATTTTGATTAATTTGAATCAAAATGTTTGAATAGATAAAATTATCAGTAATATATGAAATTCGTAGATAGTACTTTAAATATGATAACAAGTATAAACTTGATGTACCCAGCATTTTATTTCGTTGTAGTAGAATATTTTCAATCCTGCAAATTGAAATATTAAGTAAATCACATAGTTTCCAAATATTTTCTTAACATTGTGCTAGTACAAGGCGCAGTATAATATGTGTGAAAGTGCAGAC